GCGGGGAGGGTATGAATGATATGAGTCTGTCCTGTGCGTGCATGAGCATTACGCTCGCCACGGCTCCACCAGGATGGTTCCTGGTCGCGCGCGCTCGAATAGAATAAGCCATTCATTTCATCAATCCAATGCGATTTATTTGAGAGAAAGGAAAGAAAAAAATCCATCGTAATGAGTCTATTCGATTGAAAAGCGTTGAACACGATGATTTCTCCGATCGACGACACAGAGATTGCCATGTCGATCGAAAGACAAACCTTGGGGACAGTTGAACTGATTTGCTTCTTCTCCTTCACCATTTCCACCTACAATGACAGTGCCCTGTTTCGCTCCTTTAGACCAACGCATTACTCTATCGTAAATGCAATCTGCCACATAGATGGTACCCAATGTATCGACGAACAGTCCTTTCGGATAATACAACTGTGTCAGAGCATTCCCTTGCCCTTGACCTCCAGCGACGACAATTCCTTCTTTTGCACCTTTATTCCATTTCATTACACGATTATTGTAGTTGTCTGACACGTAGACAGTCTGTTGTTGATCGACAAAGATGTAGATCGGATCGTTGAGTTGATTGAGACCATCACCTCCGCCATTACCACCAGCCACAATAGTTCCATTCTTGTCTCCTATTTGATATCGTCTTACTTCATGTTTGACGTAGTCAGAGATGTAGAGATATCTCTGATCATCCATGGCTAATCCCCAACATTCGATGTTGTTGATGAGGATTTCTCCTTGAGTTGTACCACTACGACGAGACCATCGTACGACTCGTCGATTTGTCTGGTCACAAATAATGAGACTATCCGTCTCTTTGTCGATCAACACATCGCTTGGACTATTCAATTGGTCCAATCGATTTCCTTTGCCATTGCCACCAGCTACTACTTGTCCATTCGTATCACCCATCTTCCATTGGATGATACGATGATTGTTGCAGTCAGCGATAACAATCCTTTGATCATCATCAACGAAGAGACCTTCAGGTCCGTTGAGTTGATTGGTGGCACTGCCTTGTCCATGACCTCCAGCAACAGTCACTCCATTCTGTGCCCATCGGGCATCGGCTGAAATATTGAGAATTACTACAATGAACAGAAAAGAAAAGAAATCGTCGTTATCGAAGGGATCTCGTCTCTCGTGAGAGCAAGCGCTACAAATATGACATTCATCTTTGCGAATGCTCATTCCACAGATAAAAATTCACAAGTCTTTTCCTAGTTTCCTATGCGAAAAAAGGATTTGGTAACGATTCTTACATCTATGTTACTTCTAGTTCTTGCCCAGATCTTTTTGATCATAAAAATAACACCTGAAGATTGCTGTAAGGAGGTTCTCCAAGAAAGAGTAATACTAATTCCATGTAAGTTTTTGATAGAAAAACATAAGGATCTGAGGATTTTATTCAGAATTGCAAGAATTCAGAATCTTTTTGGCAGAATGATCATTTATATGAACATTAGAGAAGATTCTATCTGTATCTTGTGAGAAGAATATCGAATCGTTGAACAACAAAATATCAAACCTAATCCCTATGGTTTTTAGGAAACCTTAAGGATACATGATTTTCTGTATGATGAATGTAGATCTGCCGAAGAATCTCCTAAGTATTTGCATAGAGAATGCCCGTGACATTTTATAAGGCTTTTGATAAGTTATGTGAAGCTGTTCGAAGAACAATCGTGATGTACTCTGAGTAAGATCATGAGAAGGTTTGGATACAGGAGAAACTGAACAAAGTTGAGAGAATTCCACGCGAATCTATGTAATCTGAGAGGGTTCTACTTTTGAAAATACTGAAAAGATGTATGTCAATCCGAACGAAGCTCTCCAGTGACAAACATTGGGATCTATGGATTTTATGGGCTTTGAAAAGAAAGTGTTTTAAAATGCTATTTTTAACTTTTGATGAACACCATCTTCAAACCATTGTATTAGAGTCCTAGAACAGAATCTTGGCGACTAAATAAGATACTTTGCCAAAACCTCAAAATCTAAAAATAATGAGTATCTTCTATGAGGATCATGCTACAATCCTTATGTAATACTTGTTCTGAGAAGTCTTCTGTAAGCTCGCATGTTATGGATATGTTCAGGAGGATCTGAAGAGTAAGTATTTTGAAATGGTTGATATCAGAGTGAAAATGGAGTAGGAACAGGACAGAATGGAGGTGCCTATCATTAAATTTTATGAGAAAGTTTATAATGCAATAAATTAATGTGCTACTATTTGATATCAATCGTAGATTTAATTATGTCCAAAAACTTATGTGTATTTAACTCTCGGATGCCCAAGCTAATTTTTGGAGATAATATGATAACATGTATTCATATTTCTATGATTTTGATTGCTGGACTGGTATTCTTGCCCAAATTAGATTGTTTTCCTCTTCATTCTTGTAAAGTAATTATTAGAATTATAATTTTCCTTTATTTAGAACAGTAAATAGAAAAAATTCCTTGAACAAAGTGCTCATCACAAACCGATTCTGGGAGGGTTTTCACTGAATTCTTCTGAACATAATCAATATCATGGGCACAAGGGCGGATATATATAATAGACATCTCGGGACAATAATAATCTTCTCGAAGATTCTGAACAAGAATATTGAAAATAGACTAGATGCGACGCCATGCACAAAAAGAATGCAAGAGAGAAGGAATATGCATGAGATGTAAAGTAGACAGGAAAGAAAAAAGAGAAATGTACTAGAAGAGATCAAAAAGAGACAGTGAAAATAGATGCATTTTTTTAAAGCTTTTGTCAGATTCAGAATAAAAGATGTCATTGGACATCTTATTAGATTCTGAGATTAAGAAATATATAAGAACAGAGTAAAGGACTCTGATCTGATTTTATCTGACTAAATAGGATTCATAAACAAAAGAAAGTTATAGCATTACATAATCCAAGTCTTGTCTACTCTTATTTGAATCTGTGTGATCTATCATGTTCTTTTACTTATTTGAGAATCATTGATTCAATAGTTTCTATTATGGAGAAATGTACAAAATACACAAAATTGTCCTGCACAAGGCAATGTTTTCTATTAATGGAATCGTAAAATCATATTTGACTTCAAAAATAAATGCTTTGTATAATAGATTAGTCAAAGTACAGATATATCTCGGAAATTTTCACATAATAGAGAACGTTTTTCTTCACAAAATATTTCGACAGAAAAAATATCGATGTTGAAGTTTTTCTAAGACGATCAGGAGATGAAAAATTATATTTTTTTCTATGTATCCTCTACTATATACTGGAACATATATTTTTTGTGTTCCTTATTTTGCTATATTGAAAATATAGAAAATAATATATGAATTAATTTTTTTCTACTATATGCCTGGGAATATTTTTCTATTTTTCTATATTAAAAATATAAAATAAAATATTTTTTTATTTGTTATTTGTCTATATATATAATATAGAAAACGATATAATATTTGATTTACTCTAAACTATGTGCTTGTACATTTATTTTTTATTTCTTATTTATGTATCTTGATAATATAGAGAATAATATATTATTTAACATTTATACTACTATATGCTTAGGCATCTATTTGTATTTTCTTTATAGCGAATATATAGAAAATAATTTTTTATCTGTTATTGACCCATATTGATAATGAAACGTAATTTATTTTATTTGTCATCTTTCTCTGTAGAGTAAGCGGGAGTAAATGTAGAAGACAATGCAGTGGTTTTCAGCAAAATGACTAACTTTTTTAGTGTTTTTTTTTAAATTTTCTTCATAAAACACTCACCTGCTACCATACTCTATTGATTGGTAAAGAACTTTTCTCACAATATTATACGCACACCTATTTACAAGGTGTTCTTTGAACAGTAGTTTTCGATTATACATTTACCCTGTTTAGATAAAATGTATAATCTCGCTGATGTCATTGAGAGAATGTATAATCCCAGATATTTTTGATATATTTTTTAAATTCTAATTTTTCAACGATTGGCACTTATTTTTTTGGGGTGTGGGTGTACTCCATGCGAAGACAGTACCCACACCCATCCACGCCCACGCACCCACACCCTTTGTCAGAACAGAATTTTGAAATTCCATTCTATTCATTTTTTATGAGAAGCAGTTGCAGAGCGGTCACAGCATGATGCATATATCTGAAGGTGGGTGACGATACGTGTGCGTGCTTTGTTTATTTATTGTAGGATTATTTGTATATTAGATTCTTTTTTGCAACTTTAGTCTTTCTCAAATAGAGCTCACCGATCCTCTAGCCACTCACTGGCACAACGAGTCTAGCATAATCAACAAAACACGACATTGTACATCTTTCGATCGATATTAAAAACAGATTAAATGAGAATTTACAAGTCAAACATTTCTGAAACCGATACTCGACTCGTCATGTTCTCCATATATAAAAAGAAACATCACTTACTGCGCATTGTATTTATTATGGTTGTGATTTCCGATGTGGTGGTTGTAGTAATGGTGATAGT